TTGCCAATACCTATGTTAAGGTGAGGAAAAGAATGCATTGTGAGACAGACAGAGTTGAAGGGGTTAGATCACTTGGATTATTCATTTCTTGTCAATTTTCAGGAAGCAACAGAGACCAAGATACTTAGTGCAAGCCACAGAGCTAAAAGTAATGATGAAGTAACTATATATGATATGAGGAGGTCAGGAACAAGAGAGCTTTCCAAATCTGAGCCTCATGCAGGGGTTCCTGTGCTCAGTTCTCTATGACTTTAAGTCTGACTCACATATTTGATGTGCAGTTAATTCTCTATAAACAAACAACCTGTTTGATATGCTTTGGCTGTGTCCCCACTCTGATCTCATCTTGAATTGAAACTCCCACAATTCCCATGTGTCATGGGAGGGACCTGGTGGGAGGTAATTGAATCATGGGGGCAGGTCTTTCCTACATTGTTCTCATGATAGTGAATAAGTCTCACAAGACCTGATGGTTTTTTTTTTGTTGTTGTTGAGATGGAGTCTCACTGTGTCGCCCAGGCTGGAGTGCAGTGGCCGGATCTCAGCTCACTGCAAGCTCCGCCTCCCGGGTTTACGCCATTCTCTTGCCTCAGCCTCCCAAGTAACTGGGACTACAGGCACCCGCCACCTCGACCAGTTAGTTTTTTGTATTTTTTTTTTTTAGTAGAGACAGGGTTTCACTGTGTTAACCAGGATGGTCTCGATCTCCTGACCTCGTGATCCGCCCGTCTCGGCCTCCCAAAGTGCTGGGATTACAGGCTTGAGCCACCGCGCCCGGCCGACCTGATGGTTTTATAATGCGGAGTTTTCCTGCACAAGTTCTCTCTTGTCTGCCACCATGTAAGATGTGCCTCTCACCTTCGGCCATGATTGTGAGGCCTCTCCAGCCACGTGGAACAGTGAGTCCATTAAACTTCTTTATCTTTATAAATTACCCAGTCTCAGGGATGCCTTTATCAGCAGTGTGAAAACAAACTAACACACTGTTTTGACCAAACCATGGCAAAGAATTAAGTAACCACCCCCAAAGAAGTTGCCCAAGGCTTGCCTCTGCAGATACCCCTACCATCAACTCCTGCCTCTTGTGAATGATCACACTGCTCTAGTTTTTTTTTTTAATTTCCACTTTTCAAAAATTCCAGGCTGTCTCAAACAAGGCAACCTAACAACTTTCTCCCTATAGAAAACTTAACCTTGTCATTCTCCCACTTCTAAATCTAATTCAGAATTGCTTTTCTGGTTTTTACAACTCTTCATTGGTTTGCTCCTCCCTGCACTTCCAAATTCATGTCTCCTTATCTTCATCAATCTGTCACCTTCAACACCACCCGTCACTCTACTTCTTGGCTTTTCAGGCAGTTACTGTTTGAATGAGAAGATTGAAAATCTCATTTCTCACTTTTGAGAACTCTTACAGGAACATATTGCAAAGCCTCCCGCAAACCCGAGAGAGAGGAAGAGAGAGAGAGCATGACACCTCACAAAGAATGTCTAAAGTGGGAGTAGCCCTAAAATAGAGTACAATAATAAACTGATGCTGCTGTGCTTTCTTTAAAAAAATGAAAACAAAAAACAAAGCAAAATCTCACAATGGAACTTTCCTTCAGTAAATGAGTTATTATCAAAGTATTCAATTCTAGAAAAATCCCACAAATTGCTAAATTCTCTTTAAAAAAAATATAAATAAATAAAAAACCATGCCGTTCAAACCACTGCAACAAGCCACAAGGGAAAAAAGGCTACAAAGACAAAGCCCCATTCTCATTTGGTACCAGTGCTACCCTGGTATGTGTTACACCACTGAAAAGACTTGTTAACTCAAACATCTGTTCTAAGGCACCCTTCACCATCAGAACTGGTACTCCATTCATATTCCTTCCTTCCACAGGTTTGACAGATGGATGAATTCCTAATGGCCCCAGATAAGATTCAAATAGTTGCAATAACCACCTCCTCCTTAGTGAACACGACTTTCCCCCCAGGTAATAAAATGGAGATAATGGTAGAGGGGTGTAAAATAACATAAATTGGGAATCTAGGTTCAAATCCAACATTTTCCCTGCCAGCAGGAACACCAGACGGTGGTGTCTTGATCCTGCCATGCACATATTCCATGAGTGACAACAGGCAATGAGATGTGAAGGAAAAGAGAAAGATGTGCCCACCAGGTCCTTCCCAAAGGGCAGCCAAGTGTTTTATTTGAACTGCCTTGTGGCTTATTGGAGTCAGAACTGCATGTTCCGTAGAAAACTGTCAGCCACCAAGTTAGGATCTTTACTGATTATCACCGAAGGTCTTTTGTCTTTGGAATGCAATGAAAAATAACTCCCATAAAGGAAGCTGGTCTAAGCTGGGAAATGCAGGCTACTATATCAGAGTCATGTGGATAGATGTGTTCTGCTAGCAGGCTTCCATTTTACTCTATAACAGAAAAGAAAGATAAAATTTCCAGGAAAAAGAAATGAAAGCTGCTGCCAGTGGAAAGAATGTCTACCACCAAGTCAAGTAGGCTGGGGGCTCCACTTACAGATGGTGATTACCATAGACTATGGATTAAACCGTGTCTGCACATCCACACCAGAAGTCTCTACAACTCGATTTGGTCTTCCCCTCATGGTCTTTTCTTTTCTTTTTTGAGATGGAGTCTCACTGTGTCGCCCAGGCTGGAGTGCAGTGGCGCAATCTCAGCTCACTGCAACCTCTGCCTCCTGGGTTCAAGCAATTCTCCTGCCTCAGCCTCCCGAGTAGCTGGGACTACAGGCGCCCGCCACCACACTCGGCTTATTTTTTTGTATTTTACTAGAGACAGGGTTTCACTATGTTGCCCAGGCTGGTCGCAAACTCCTGACCTCATGATTTGCCTGCCTCGGCCTCCCAAAGTGCTGCGATTACAAGCCATGGTCTTTTCTTACACTATAATCTTCCAATTTTGATTTTTGCTCTAAGTTGGCATAAGACTCACATATCTAAGGATGTCAGGTTGTAAGTATAGAAATGAATGTCATTCTAATTTGTTTCTGTGTATGAAAGTTAATGTAGAATGAAGATGTATACATCATGATTAAAAGAGACTGTGAAGAATATTTTCTAGTGAAGAATTTGCTTCCTATAGTTTTGTGGCCTCTGGTGTTATAATAGAGGGTAATCCACTTATATATTTTCATTAAAATTTATTCATAGTCTTGTCATGTCTTTTTTCATAATGTGCCAATATTCTTGTCCTATCCACTATCAAAATGAACTTAAAACATTTATTTTTTAAAAGGTTGCATGCTATTGACTTTACATGTTTTCTGTTGGTATATTTGTCCTCCGCACCCTCTTTTCCCCTCTTGTCAACTGCAATTCCGATTCACATTTGGCTTTGCATTACATTTTCCCCAATTCTAACATTCCCATTTGCTTTCTTTCCACTCTCGTTTCATTGCTAATTCTCTGGAGAGAATGAAATTCTATTGTTGTTATTGTTATTTTCTTTTTTCTTCTAAAGATTGGAGAGTAGAGCTCATATTTGCGAAATGACTAGTTCCATAAATATCAAGAAGTGAGTAATAAGTGGAAACTGTTCTTGGAATCCTAACTCCTAGGATGTGGTCTATTTTTAGTAGACCACATAATAAATGGGCGGAGACCAAAAATCCAAGTGCCTTGAATATTGAGGGTGAGCTGAAATCAAATCAGGTTTCTTTCTGGTAATTGATTATAAAGTAATTTCATCCACAATGACAATGAATTGATAAGTCAATTTGAGAAATATGTTATTAACTCATTTTTATAATTAAGAAGCTCTTAACAGATTTCTGTAAATGCTACAAAAATAAAACTCCAAAAACAAACATAGTTTAATTTTGTTAATAAGATATAGCTCTCATTTAAAAAAATTTTTTTTTTGAGACAGAGTCCAGCTCTGTTGCCTAGGCTGGAGTGCAGTGGTGTACTCTTGGCTCACTGCAGCCTCCATCTCCCGGGTTCAAGGGATTCTCTTGCCTCAGTTTCCCAAGTAGCTGGGATTACAGGTGCCCACCACCATACCTCGCTAATTTTTTTTGTATTTTTAATAGGGATGGGGTTTCACCATGTTGGCCAGGCTAGTCTTGAACTCCTGACCTCAAGTGATCTGCCCGCCTCGGCCTCCCAAGGCTGGGATTACAGGAGTCAGCCACTGCACCCGGCCTCATTTAAAATTTTTTTTAAAAAGGTAAAATTGGCCTCTTAGCTAAGTGATTATTTATCTTGCAGTGTGAAAGGACAAGAAAGCTCTACCGGCACAGGACTTAGCTGCTGCTGACCTCCTTTATGTTATCAGTGGACAAAAAGGCTGGTTAAAACTTGCTTTGATGCCAGGCATGGTGGCTCATGCCTATAATCCCAGCACTTTGGGAGGCCGAGGTGGGCGGATCACTTGAGGTCAGGAGTTCGAGACCAGCTTAGCCAATATGGTGAAATCCCATCTCTACTAAAAATACAAAAATTAGCCAGGCCTGGTGGTGGGTGCCTGTAATCCCAGCTTACTCAGGAGGCTGAGAGAGGAGAATCTCTTGAATCTGGGCGGCAGAGGTTGCAGTGAGCCAAGATCGCTCCACTGCACTCCATCCTGGGTGACACAGCAAGACTCCATCTCAAAAACAAACAAACAACAACAAAAAAACACACAAAAAACAAAAACAAAAAACAAAAAACAAACAAAAAAACCTGATTTGATATAGTTTCCTGGTGATTTTTTGTTTTGTTTACTGCTGAGATTTAAAATGGTTGCTTACCTTAAGAGAAAGAGAGTATGCTTGTAAAATTTAAGTGCAGGACCAAAACATGGACCCAAGGGAGCGGAGGGTGAGCACAAAGGAGATCACAGCTACTCTCTGCTGTGTTATAGGAGAGGGTAGAGCCAGCTGGCAGACAGCAGGCTGGAAGCCAGCAGTTAGAAGCAGCAGCTGTGGGTGACCTCGTCTGGGAGAAATGAGAAGGATCCCTAGAGTGGAGAGATGTGACGACAGTGCTCATAAAACCATTGTTGCCTTTACTGAAAGAGCAGAAGTCAGGTGTTCTCAGATATTAGAGGACAGACAAGTCAGGTGAGCTACTTAAAAATTCAAATTCCTTGTCCTACTTCAGTCTTGAGGCCCGAAAATCTTTATGTTACACCATCAACACGGACGACTCTGAGACAGCTCTTTCAGGAACCACACTTTAAAAACCCCTGGACTAAGGTGCAGCATCTGTGAAAATAAAACACAAAGATCTGTAACAATTTTGCAGGCGATCGGGCTACATATTTCTACTTAGGGATTTGGCTTTTGTTTAACCCTTTTTAAAAGTCTCACTTACCCATGAAATTAAATTACTTCAGGGTTATTTAATTAAGTAAGACACTTCCATTTTCTGATATTCTGACCTCTTGTCAGACAATGTGTCCCCATTTGGAGTGTTCTAATATAATCTTTATTTTAGAAGAAACTATGCTCTTTGCTGTTACAGCAGTTGTTTCTATTTGTTGCTGTTTCATTCTTTAAAAATAAAACCATACTGAGATAAATGCACAATTCCTGCTTCTCTCAGTTACCTACCCAGAAATAAAATAATTCTAGCTGTAACTGAGTCTAAGCTATGCCAAGCCTGTCTGGTAGCCACTGTTTGAAATGCCTGCATAGAGCCTTGAAGGAATTCATTGTTCTTCAAAGTGCCAGCTGTACATACCGCGATTTCCTGCATGGCTTCTGCCACTCAGGAATGCTGCACCCTGGTGGTTCTTTAGGGGTGTCCTTTTTCTCAATTGCTTCATTGTGGGTCCCATAGTGTCTGTCTGAAGATGTTCCACCACAGCTCAAGAGCACCATCTTGGGATGCACATTTTTGCAACAGATAGAGGACTTGAGTGGCACAGAATGCCATAACTTGCTAGAGGCAAGTGCAGTAAACCTAGAACAAAAAATCAAAAGAAGGAAAGAAAAGGGGCAGTGAGGCAGTTACTTTAACCATGTGCATTAGCTTGGCAACACCTCTTAGAATTTTTCTTGGTAGGAGATGCAGACTTTATCCAAGAAAGACAGTGCTACTGCCTTCCACAAAATTTGTATTTTGCTATTGTTGTCTATAGGTTAAGGTCACAGACAACTTTGAAAGAATCAGCTATAAATCTAATAAGCGGCAAAGCAGCTTAGAGGGCTTTATGGAAAAGTAAGTTCTTTTCAGATATCCTGCAAAAATGTGCTGGCCTTAAATCACCGATGACATTGTAATATTTGAGATATGCGAGAAAATCATTGAACTTTGGGACCATTTTCAGAAAAACAAAAATATAAAAGTACTTTTATTTTCACATCTCTAAAGTGAATCATCAGTCAATTATCATGTAATCTAAAGGTCTGACAAATTGGTCCTTGCACCTTGGATATATGTGTTAGAAATTCTGTGATGGAGTCTCATTTGGCCTTTGCTTTTTCCAGGCTAGGCTTTTCAGCACTGATGTCTTATGCTGGATCTCCCTCAGCTGCCCACACACCCCATGGAAATGGGACAGATGAGGTAGTTGGTGGATGGGGGAAAGAAGAGTGAGACTAATAAGAGAGACCAGACTGGGACAGAATTCATATTTTTCCTCATGGTAAGTAGAGAGCTTGATGTATACGCAAATTCATATACATTTCTTTAGGTTGCCATAGACACTGATGCCAATATTCCCTTTTGTCCTCAGATTCTCTCCCTGAGCACAGGCAGACTATTTAACAATGTCAAAGCCAATCTGTGTGTGGAACACCAACTACAAAAAAAAGTTGGATGGCATTAGTTTCACATGTGAAGTGGTCTGAACAATGCAACTAGGAGTTAAGAAAATGCCAATACCGGCCAGGCGTGGTGGCTCACACCCAGTAGTTTGAGAGGCCAAGATGGACGGATCACCTGAGGTCAGCAGTTCGAGACCAGCCTGGACAACATGGTGAAACCCCATCTCTACTAAAAATACAAAAATTAGCCGGGTGCGGCACACACCTGTAATCCCAGCTACTCGGGAGGCCAAGGCAAGAGAATCGCTTGAGCCTGGGAGGCTGAAGTTGCAGTGAGTCAAGATTGTGCCACTGCACTCCAGCATGGGCGACAGAGCGAGACACCATCTCAAAAAGAAAAAAAAAGAAAAAAGAAAAAAGAAAAGAAAACGCCAGTAGCATCTCTCAGCCTCCCTGGTGTCTAGGCTGCCGTGGAAGAATGAGCAGCCTCTCTTCCAGAAGCTTGAGGGGAACTGGACTGCTGGGGGAGAGGCAGGAGAAGAAATTTAAGGCAAGAAGTTTGAGGATGTAAGGAAATCAATTAGGTATCAGCTAGGGTAATGCTAGACAAACGCTCACGAACAAGCCCTCACATTTCAGTGGTTGTCGTCACCCCCAGGTTCAGAGTCCACTGCAGGTGCTCTTCACTGACTGCAGCTTTTCTCCATGGAACAGTTCGGAGATCCAAGCTCCTTCCATCTTGTGGCTCTGACTTCCCCTAAAGCTAGAGAATCCTTCCTATTCAGATAGGGGAAGAGAGCAGAGAACACAATGATGCTTTTAAAAAAACCAATCTGGGAGTTGACATCAATCTCTTTCTCATTTCATTGATGAAAACTAGTCACATGGCATAATCTGGATGCAGGAAGGACTGGAAGATGCGGTTCCTGTCTGGGCAGCCAAATTCAACTCACATATCTACACTGTGAAAGGGGATGCTGAATTTTAGGGGACAGCAGCCATCTCTGCCATGTAAAGTCCTGATAAGGCATAATAGACAGGACTGAGAAGAAAACCAGCAGAAGAAGAAACAGAATATTATGGAAACTGGACAAAACAGTTAACTTAAAGGAATTGCATTGGTCTGGTAGCCTGGCATAACGAAGATGAGATGGATGATTGAATTAATTATCTTTGAAATTTGGGGGTAAGGTAGTCTAATAATTCAGGCATAATGAAATTAGGAGGCTTTGCTCAGTGTTCAAATGGGATATAATCAAGAACCAGGCCAAGTGTGGTGGCTCATGCCTATGTAATCCCAGCACTTTGGGAGGCCAAGGTGGGTGGATCACTTGAGGTCGAGTGAGTCTGGCCAGTCTCGAGGAGTTCGAGACCAGTCTGGCCAACATGGCAAAACCCCATCCCTACTAAAAACACACAAATTAGCTCGGTGTGGTGGTGTGCACCTGTAGTCCTAGCTACTCAGGAGGCTGAGGTACGAGAATCCCTTGAATCCAGGAGGCGGAGGTTGCAGTGAGCCAAGATCATGCCACTGCACTCCAGCTTAGGTGACAGAGCAAGACCCTGTCTCAAAAACAAAACAAAACAAACAAACAAAAAACAAGAACCAGTTCTGGGGTCTCCAAACAAAAACATTCTTTCCAAGTTATTGGAGGACAAGGTGAGATGTTTTCTAGTTGTTCATGTCCCAAAGAAATTTGCTGTTTCTCTAGCTGGAACACTTGGGCTTTTGCTGGTAGAACCAAAAATAACTCTAGAGGAGAGGTGTTCACTATGTCTGCAATGAGGGAAATGTTCTATATCTTTACTGCTCAATACAGTAGCCACTGGCCACATGTGGCTATTGAGCACTTGAGATGAGGCTAATGTGTCCAAGGAAATTTTAAGAAGTTTACATTTACAATTAAGTAACTACATGTGGCCAGTGCCTACCATTTTAGACAGCTCACCTCTAGAGGGATGTAATGGGCACCTCTTGTATCATCTGCCCAGGCCTCCCCTTTCTCTATAAACTAACACCTTCTCCTACAAGCTTCCTCAGGTGGCTCTGAACAGCCAGGTTCATAACGTTTTTCCTTTTCACCAGTCATGGTTGCTTAACCCTGGGGTGATCACTATACCAACATTTTAGACAGTCAGAGTCTCTTCATAGATGCTGGGAAAATAACAGAGCAGTCAGTCTCTCTGCGGGTAGATTCAGAAGCTGTTGGTAGCCATATTTTCTGCATGGGGATTCAAGAAGCAGAGGATGCCAATCTGCAAAAATGATGAACGAAGCACACATGAAGAGAACAATGAGTGGAAAGAGAAAGCTAGAATTCTGGCTGCTATTCTAGCCCCTGAGTCCATACTATTTCTAAAACAGGGCTGCAGCTGACCCTCAGGGCATGATGGGTATGTCTATAGACCCAGCTACTCTGGAGGCTAAAGCGGGAGGATCTCTTGAGCCCAGGAGTTTGAGGCTGCAATGAGCCATAATCGTACCACTGCTCTCCAGTGTGGGTGACAGAGTGAGACCCTGTCTCTCAAATTAAAACAAAACCAAAAACACATTAACTCAGTTAGGAATGTCTGACTGCCATCTCTACCTATCAAAATTCTACCAATATTTCAAGGCCCATTTCAAAGGCCATCTCCTCTATCCTATTTTTCCTTCTATTTTAGTTTTTGACTACTTTGAGCACACGGCCTTCATTGTTTTATAATTGTTTATAGATGGTTTGTAGGTGCAATACTCCAAAACCTTCTCCAGACACAATTTTTTATTAATGCAGTCTAAAATGGCATTCAATTTTCTGGTAGCTACTTCATATTTTCATCTCATATTGAGTTTTGTGGTCAATTAAGACCCTCAGTGTCATAATTCTTGAGGAGTGAGGCCAGAGCATGCTAGGTCCTCACTGGCAGGCTGCTGAGGAAGTGGAGGAGGGAGCAGAAGAGCACAGCACAGGGAACTTCATACCAGTCTAGAAGTACTAACACGGCAATGATATCTGCTCATGGTCTGTGAAAGATTTAATACTTTATGTAGTGGTGTTCTTTATACCTTGATTTTTTTTTGTGACTTACAGATTTCTAACAATGCATAATTATAGAGTCACTTTTTTAAGTTTAAAATAATAAAAAACAAACACTGGATTGGTGTAGGTGAGAGGGAAACAGCAGCAGGTAATTTTGGATGGTCGAAATATCTGGAGTCACTTGGCTAACCATTCTGTGGTCCAAAGTCCATTAGAGTTGTACAAAAATCTAGCCAATAGCTAATGAGGCTTGGGGAAGGAGCTCCAGGCCTGGACACCTGAGAAAGGTGGTTAAAGACAGGATGAGCCCTTTGGGGCTCAGTGTACAGGTAAGTTAGGTAGTAGAATCATTGGCTGCAGAGCCAGACAGACCAATATTCTTGTCCTGGGAGGGACTTGGTAGAAGTCACTTCGCTTCTCTAAGCCTGTTGTTTTATCTGTAAGATGAGGAAAAATTGTCTTTTGTGGGATTGTTGTGAGATTACCTGAAGGGGAAAATATATACCTGCCCCACAGTAGACACTGAATATATCACAGGTAAGGACTTGGTGGGCTGTTATGTTCTGAGTTAGGCTGGATTTCAGGCAGAACCATGCTTAGTAGAGGAATCAGAAATCAGTAAAAGAAAAGAGGCTGACAGCCAGGTATGTAGGCTAAAGCAGGAGAAGTTAGAAACCCAAAAGGAAAATAGAAAGCTTAGGGTAATAAGATGAATGGCAGTTCCCCTTAGCTGTTTGATACTGTTTGGCTGTGTCCCCACCCCAATCTCATTTTGAATTATAGCTCCCATAATACTCACATGTCATGGGAGGGACCCAGTGGGAGGTAACTGAATCATGGGGACAGCTTTTTCCCTTACTGTTCTTTTTTAATTTTTTTTTTTAATTTTACTTAAGTTCTGGCATACATGTGTAGAACATGCAAGTTTGTTACATAGGTATACACGGGCCATGGTGGTTTGCTGCACCTATCAACCCATCATCTAGGTTTTAAGCCCTGGATACATTAGGTATTTGTCCTAATATTCTCCCTCCTCTTGTTCCCCACCCCCCAACAGGCCCTGGTGTGTGATGTTCCCCTACCTGTGTCCATGTGTTCTCATTGTTCAACTCCCACTTATGAGTGAGAACATGTGGTGTTTGCTTTTCTGATCCTCTGGTAGTTTGCTGAGAATGGCGGTTTCCAGCTTCATCCATGTCCCTGCAAAGGACATGAACTCATTCTTTTTTATGGCTGCATAGTATTCCATGCTGTATATGTGCCACATTTTCTTTATCCATTCTATCGTTAATGGACATTTGGGTTGGTTCCAAGTCTTTGCTATTGTAAACAGTGCTGCAACAAATATGTGTGCATGTGTCTGTATAGTAGAATGATTTTTAATCCTTTGCATATATACCCAGTAATGGGATTGCTGGGTCAAATGGCATTTCTGGTTCTAGATCCTTGAGGAATCGCCACACTGTCTTCCACAATGGTTGAACTAGTTCACAGTCCCACCAACAGTGTAAAAGCATTCCTATTTCTCCACATCCTCTCCAGCACCTATTGTTTCCTGACTTTTTAATGACTATTATTCTAACTGGCATGAGATAGTATCTCATTGTGGTTTTGAATTGCGTTTCTCTAATGACCAGTGATGATGAGCTTCTTTTCATATGTTTGTTGGCTGTATAAAAGTCTTCTTCCGAGACGGGCGGATCACGAGGTCAAGAGATCGAGACCATCCTGGCTAACACGGTGAAACCCCGTCTCTACTAAAAAAATACAAAAAACTAGCCGGGCGAGGTGGTGGGCGCCTGTAGTCCCAGCTACTCGGGAGGCTGAGGGAGAAGAAAGGTGTAAACCCAGGAGGCAGAGCTTGCAGTGAGCTGAGATCTGGCCACTGCGCTCCAGCCTGGGCAACAGAGCGAGACTCCATCTAAAAAAAAAAAAAAAAAAGTCTTCTTTTGAGAAGTGTCTCTTCATGTCCTTTGCCCACTTTTTGATAGCATTGTTTTCTTTCTTGTAAATTTGTTTAAGTTCCTTGTAGATTCTGGATATTAGATCTTTGTCAGATGGATAGATTGCAAAAATTTTCTCCCATTCTGTAGGTTGCCTGTTCACTCTGATGATAGTTTCTTTTGCTGTGCAGAAGCTCTTTAGTTTAATTAGATCCCATTTGTCAATTTTGGCTTTTGTTGCCATTGCTTTTGGTGTTTTAGTCATGAAGTATTTGCCCATGCCTATGTCCTGAATGGTATTGCCTAGATTTTCTTCTTGGGTTTTTATGGTTTTAAGTTTTATGTTTAAGTCTTTAATCCATCTTGAGTTAATTTTTGTGTAAGGTGTAAGGAAGGGGTCCAGTTTGTTTTCTGCATATGGCTAGCCAGTTTTCCCAGCACCATTTATTAAATAGGGAATCCTTTCCCCATTGCTTCTTTTTGTCAGGTTTGTCAAAGATCAGATGGTTGTAGGTGTGTGGTGTTATTTCTGAGGCCTCTGTTCTGTTCCATTGGTCTACATATCTCTTTGGGTACCAATACTGTGCTGTTTTGGTTACTGTAGCCTTGCAGTATAGTTTGAAGTCAGGTAGTGTGATGCCTCCAGCTTTATTCTTTTTGCTTAGGATTGTGTTGCCTATATGGCTCTTTTTTGGTTTCATATGAAATTTAAAGTAGTTTTTTCTAATTCTGTGAAGAAAGTCAACGGTAGCTTGATGGGAATAGCATTGAATCTATAAATTACTTTGGGCAGTATGGCCGTTTTCACAATATTGATTCTTCTTATCCGTTAGCATGGAATTTTTGTTTGTACTATTCTTGTAATAGGGAAAAAGTCTCATGAGATCTGATGGTTTTATAAAGGGCAGTTCTCCTGCACATACTCTCTTGCCTGCCACCATGTAAGACATGGCTTTGCTCCTCCTTTGCCTTCCACCATGATTGTGAGACCTTTCCAGCCATGTGGAACTCTAAGTCCATTAAAACTCTTTTTCTTTATAAATTACCCAGTCTTGGGTATATCTTTATTAGCAGCATGAGAACAAACTAATACACTACTGAATCATAAATACTGATCCAACAATCAATTTTCAGCACCTCTGATATGTGATCACTCTGCTGCAGCTGACACCAGCTACATCTCCAGCCCCTCTTGGCTTCTGTGCCTCCGTTGACACCATGCTTCCCCGTGGCCTCCTCCTACTCCAATGCTCCCACAGTTTCCTCTCCAACAGGCACTTCTTCACCTCCTCTTATAAACACTGCTGTTCCTTGCAGTTCTGTTCTGGGCCTCTTATCTTCCCACTTCACACATTCTTCCCCAGCAGCCTCATCTACGTACCTTTGATTGGTTTTTCTACTATTTGCTACTGACTTCCAGATCTTATATCCAGTTAATTACTCACAACTCAAAACCCTTCAAAGTTCTCTTGGAACCTTGAGAGTAATTTGCTTTGGAACCCAGTTATGCTTTTAATCTTCGGCCTGCCACCTCCATGTTTTTCCTGAACTAGACCACTGGCTCAAAAATGACCACTGCTATGGTTTGAAGTTTCTCCCCTAACCCTCCTTATTCATATGTTGAAATCCTAACCCCTAAGATATCAGGAGGTGGGGCCATTGAGGGGTGATGAGGTTATGAGAATAAAGCCCCCATTAATGGGATCAGTGCTCTTATAAAGGGTATTCCAGTGAACCCCCTCTCCATTTTGACCATGTGAGGACACAGAGAGAAGATGGCTGTCTATGAACCAGAAACAGGCCCTCACCAGACACTGAATCTGCTAGTGCCTTCATCTTGGACTGCTCAGCCTTCAAAACTGTGAGAAAAACTTTCTGTTATTTATAAGCTATTCAGTTTATGGCATTTTATTATAGCACTCCAACCAGACTAAAACAACCATTGAGCATCTAAGTCATCACCACAATCACTGTAATCAATCCTATTATATTGCCAGCATTTTTAAAATTGTTTATCATGACCCATTACTAGTCCTAGAATTAATTTCATGGGTCACAATTGACTTTTTAAAGAATAGAACAAAGAATAGAATGGAATGGAACAGAAACAGCAGAATGCTTGCCTCCCTAATAAGTATCGTTTTAAGATTTTTTAGTGTGTGTGCATTATGTTATAATAAACATTTTTTTTTTTATTGTGGCTCATAGACAAAAGTTTAGTACCCACTGGATTAGACCACTGTGTCT